CAAAAACACCGCATGAAAGCACAGTGAATATTTTTAAATAAGAAAAATACTTTTATTTTCTTTATTTGAGCAAGCAGTGAGAGAATTGCTCACTTAAGATGTTCTCAGACTACCTCTCAGCAAGCTAGTGCTTGATATTACTCATTCACTTAGAGGCCTGCAGCTTTTCAGTAAGATTAAAGATTTGCAGTAATATATTTATTTTTACTGTACATCTATGATTACTACATTTTTTTCCTTATAGTACCTAGAGGGATGGAGTTAAATGAATCTGCTCTTTCAAAATCTGTTTACATAACACTGTCCACTTATTCTTGCCTTTCTTAGAAAAACAACATCCTTACTAATGCTTCAGAAAATATTTAGGCTTTTGTGTTAGCTATCTGTGTTCGTGTTTTGCTATTCTGGCATCTAAGTACAAATCTTTATAAAGACCAAAGTGTAAACTATCGTAGTGTGTCATAACAGTAAAATAGTTGATGTGTCAAACAGGTATACAGTTTTAGGTTAGGAAGAAAGTAGGAGCCAATGGAATCTTAAGTAATAAACTAACTATTTCTGATGTAGCATTATGAAAATGTTTTCCACTTTTAATAAAGTCCACTCTCTCATTCTATATTACAACTGAAGACCTCAAAACAATTTACCAGCAGTTAAACCCACTGCCATGCTTCATGTCAAGCAATTGTTAAACCTGCTTGCAGATGTGTGGGTAAATCTGGATGGTTAAGCTAGATTTGACAAACTTTCTCTAGGCCGTGCCATGACTCAGCGTCACAGCCAGCAGGAGAACGTGAATCCTGACTATTAATCACATTTCATTTATTAGCCAATATATTTTGTGCCAGGTTCCAATACTATCAACAAATACACTGGCAGAGCAGCTGGATACCCTTTTGATCATGCAATTCGACTCTGAGATTTTAAGTGCTAATGCTACACTGCTGTGTTTCAATTTTGAGCAGCATAAAACCACCTCTGCTCCATCATGAAAAAGGAGTTGCATGGCTCTGGGAGTTCCGTGTCAGTCTTAGTCTTCCACTGTGTCTGTCTCATTTCACGTCACCTGCAGTTCATTTGTTACTGTCGCCACAGTCCTGTGTGGCATATCAGGACAGCATACCATCAGGCTGATGGGAGGAATGAATTTTCGTATTCCTATCAATCACTGTTCTTGTTTTGACTTCTCACATCTTGCTAAACAAGTGACCTGCTAAGCAGGCTCAAGCCTGGCTGTGGCCCATGTGCAGCTGTTTTTTTATAGATAAAGCCAATGTAACAAATCAGACTACAGCCACAAATACTGATAAAGCATGTTTAAAGGAGCATCCCTTACTGACATTAAACCGTTATTTTTGACACCGAAGGAGACATTGATTACAGTGGCCAGACTTGACTTGCATTTACTGTATAGTGATTCTGAGGGATGGCCGGAAAATGTACCATGCAGTCTTTTTTTTTTTTCTTTTAATTGCCAGTGATTATGTACAAATCTTTCCGTTTCGTATTTTCATTTTGAAGCAAACAGTAGGATGCATGAGCTAAGAGATGATGAAACACAGTGTGCTGTTTCAAATCTTTGCTTTTGTAACACTAACAGACACAGGGAGAAACAGACACAAGCATTTTTTTTGTGATTTGGGTGTTTGCATGTCATTCAGGCAAGATAGTGACACAGTGAATGTATCAAAAGAGCAAATGAGTTGACTGTGCCATATTGCTGTATCTTCATTTCAGAACTGAATCACAGGAGGCAGTAGTACCTCATTACAGATTAAGTAGCCTATCTCAGAAAGGCAGAATCCTAGCAAAAATTCACATACTCAAAGTCTTGTTTAAACTCAAGGAAAAAGAAAAAATGTGTTCTTTCAAATACCAGTTTTCACCCAGTTGATGGCTGTAGCTGGTAAAGGCAGATATTGCAGTTATTCTTTTAATATGTTGCCCTTTTCAGTGTTCTTGTGAGGACAAAGCATACTAAAATGATTGTCTCCTTGTACAAATGGCTACTTTTTTTTTTTTTTCCTTTTCACAGCAGAGGTGCTAGCAAGGCTTGAGAAAGTAACAGATGGGAAAACACTGATGCAGGCATCATCTTGATGTGTGAATTTAACCATTTTCAGTGAATGAGCAGAAAGCTAACGAGATACATAAGTGCTGCTGAAGTTTGATCTTAAGTAGACAGAGAATGAGTAAACTCCCAGCACTAAACAGTGTCAGTGACGTGCTGGTAATGCAATCTTCTCAGGAATGTCTTTATGTGCTTCTAAGTGGATTGAGTGGGGAAAGTCTGCCGGTAAAAATGAATTAGATGATGACTAAGATCTACAGTATACACTAAAATAAAACTACAACTGGTTTTCACTTCACTAAATTGAATGGCAGAGGCAAATTCTTTTTTGACTAGCCCTTCTATGTCAGTTTTTAGAAATGCCTTGTAGGATCCAGTCTATAGTTCAGTGTACCAAATATCTGCTATTTGAGAGAAAAGTGCATAAAATTTCATGGTAGAAAGGTAGGGCTTTGTAAAGTTTCATGAAAGCGATATTCTGCAGTGAGAGTTCAAGCTTGTGAATGGTCTTTTCAAAATAATAAAGGTCACACAAGTAGGCTATTTTCATTAATAAATATTATTTTAGGTAATTTCACTAGGGAAATAGACTGTTATTGATGAGGTTCTTGGGAACCTTTAAATGCCACAGGAGCTGAATGGCAAAATCCAAATTACAAGTACAATTACTGTCTGTGGGGCCAGTTTCTTGGTTCTCTCTCTGCTTAAGGTTTTCGTACAGGGAGCAGAATTGCAGTCAGGACTGCACAGCGTTGGGCTGTTAGGGCTTTTCATTGTCAGAGCACTTTAAAACCTTATCTCATAAAATGAATAGACTGAAAGCTGTAAGATAGAAACAAAAAGATGTTCAAGAGATAAAAAGAAGCAGTTCTTTCAAGCACAATTAATGTGGATTAGGGTACATCAAGAGCGCAATAATTCTATAGTCTCTACGTGAGAACAGGGAGTCCTGATTTCCCACTACTGTCTGACTGAGCTTTCAGCTCTAACTTTAAGTTTGTTCCGAAACAGCCAGTGCTGAACATCACTAGGTGGGAGTTCCTAATTTAAAATGAGTGTGTGTGCCATATGGATAGTTAAAATGCAATCTGAATTTTGCTGATACTTTCTAGTAATTTGTTTTGGGTGAGTTTACGTCATGAATTGAAACCACTGCTGCATGTCTTAAAAACAAGCAATATTAATGGCCCATTGCACCAGAAGAATGGCTTTCTCAATCCAAATGTTTGTGTATTATAAATTACAAATTATTTCTTGGTCCGATAACCAGTAAAATATTACTTACTGTGTCTGCTGCAGCCACTCTTGACAGCTCAAGCTGTTTAAGTTAAATGAAACAGACTCAATAATGAACTCTGTGACAGGGAGTGTTTAAAAGTCCCTGAACTGGATTTTAATTCTAAAAGCAATAGCACTTGAGTATGTTGGGAATCACCACTCCTTTGATTCTCCCCCTCTCACAAAGTAGAGGTTTGATGCAGTGCTTACGTTAATCCAGTTCCTTGACATGAGGGCAGACATACCTGGCGTATTTCATCCAGGGCCTGGAGCAGACTGCAGTTATGTTATACCACATGGTGAGGAATCTTAAGCTGATACCAAGTTTGGGTGATCTTAAAGTATAAGTTGCAGGGATTCAGTGGTGCCATATAAGCAGCTGAGTTGTTCCTGCAACTGGTGGAGAGTGGCAGGGGAAGGGAGGAGGAGGCCTTGGAGAAGGGAGCTCTGCAGCATTCAGCAGCAGCAGATCACCGTGCCACCGTAACTGTCCTGCTGCCTTCCTCTGCTAATCATAAATCGCGCAGTCGCTCTGACCAGGCAGCATTACCCTCCTCGTAGCTATGTGACAGAGCCCCAGTGTGGGACCTGGTGTCCCGCAAACAGCCTGCTGCTGAAGAGCGGCAGTTGGATGCTCCTTGTTGAACTGCCTAGTGTTAGGTAATACATGTCATCCATCCTTGCCATGAGCTCAATAAATAGGTGAACTGAAGGACAGCAAAGTGGTTTGTTCAGTACAGTAAATCAAACATGAACATTTCAACCTCTCTAGTGTTTATTAAATTATGTTGTTGTTATGTGTGTTCATTCAGCAATTTGTGAATTATGTTGTTTTATCATAAACACATTTTACCAAAGTTCATCACATAGTGACCCTTCTCCAGAAGTATGTTCTGAATTAATTGTGCTGTCATAGAGCCAATGGCAACTTAAAAATCATACATCAGATCTTCTTTTTCTAATATAGCCTACAAAATTGTATTTATGAGTTGTTGCTGTGTATTTGCAAGAGAAATTTTCAGTGTTAAAAACTCCCATGTTGAGACTTTTTCCCAAATTATTTTTCATTTCTATTTCTTAGCAATAAGATTAAAATAAATGCTTTGCAATAATTTAACTTCTAGTTAATTATTCTGTAGCAGTGCTGGCATATTAGAGGTAGATAACTATGGGACATTTACCTGATCTTTTATAACAAAAAGTGTCAGATCAAGAGCTCTAATCCCTACAGCCATTGATTAACTAAGCCTCACAATATCCCTGAAATAGGTGTTGAGTTATTATATGGATGGAAATTTATTCTTCTTATGGGTAGAAATATTGAGAAACACACTGATTTGTAGAGTTGCCTGGTCAAAACTGGGTTCTGATGTCCTAGAATACCAGCCACCAGCTTTTTCTCCAAATCTTGCACATTCACTACGTCTGGAAATAAACTCCTGTGCCCTGTAAAGTGGTGTGCATGATTAAGTTCTCCACCGAGTTAATTTGAGGATTGATGCCAGAGCAAGAAACAGAGGGAACAATAATGAAATTTTTTTCAGAATCCCCCCTATTACTGCTTTTACCACCGTCTGTGCTCATTCATGAAACAATGTGGAGCGTTCAGCTTTTTTATCTGCATTCAGACTTTTAAAATTATTTGTTACAGACATTCCTACAGATGCAGGCAGTTTACATGTGTTTCTTCTGATATGCGGACTTCGAAGAGTCAAAGACCCTCTGTATTTAGTAGATGTATTTTCAGGTAGGTACCTGCTATTTGAATACTCTTGGATTCAGATGCATTTCTTTTAGTGTTTATAAGTTTGGCATAAGCTGTTTTATTCATTGCAGGAACTTCATAATATATTTACATTTAAAAAAAGAAATGCTCACGTAACCATTGATCTGTTCAATGCATTTCTGTACTGCGTCTTTTCCAGCCTGCTGGGAATAACAGAGCATTAAAATCAAAGCAATATTTGATGATTTTACTTGCTGGGAAAACTGTTTTGCTGTTACGTACTGCAATATTAATGAAAGACAAAAGAAGAATTCAGCTACTTCAAAATAACTTTTTTATCTTACTGTCCTGTGACTGTTACACTGATTTGCATGTGTGATAATTAATGTCATTGAAGTTACAAGCAAATTCCACCACCCATCATTATGGTTCAACACTGCAAACTAGGCTGAAGTTTTCTCGTAGTCAAGTAGGTGAATGTTTCACCAGGTTCTGTTTGTGTCTGTAAAAGGTACAGGTATTCCAAGTTGGAAATTTAGCCTCCACTACTCAGCTTATTTTTATAAGCCTTTACCACCTTGTGACACTGAATAACAAATGTAGTTTCTTAAGGTCAAGTAACTGGTTTCATCCTACTCTGGTATTGAAAGAGCAGCTGATTTCTCTTATGCATATAACTGAGTTTTAATTGTAATGGTTGCAGTTGCTTCCATATGTTCCTTTACACAGGAAGAAATTCAAATAATTATGTCTTAGTGGCCAGAGTCACTGCATTATATAGAGCATTATTCTCTTGAGATGATTCAAAATTAGTATCTGAGCTTAGTTAAATAACCCTTGAATCATAAGAGATTGCATGAAGCAGAAATGCTAAATGCTAACTTTCAGATATGCTAATTATTTGAATTCTGAGGAGTAATGTGAGGGCTGAGCGTGAAATCTGATACACATTCAGTCTTTTAAGTAGTAATACAATATTTACCTAATTCTTTATTCATGCAGCTATTTACATTGATTTCAGAGAAAGAATTAAATTAAATTAAAAATTAATACTTTTGATTAATAAAAAAGATGTTCTTCTTCTGTTTTAGATTGGCACAGAAAGGATCCCAGTGTCCATCTGGGCATAATTGGACCTGCAGTAAGTTGTTGTAATTTTTATTTTATTTGTATGTTTTTTCCTAAATACTTCTGTTTGCTCGCATCTGAGATACTGCAATAATTCTTTCCAAACTGAACCTAAGTCAGAGGACTCCTGATTCTTACAGAGATGAGAAGGTAGAAACCTAGCACTTGTAAAGGCTGTTCACAACAGGTCTACACCATGGAAGTGGAAGTGATTCCAGTGCTCGGACTTCCAAAGTTCAGAGTTCTGCTGTCAGCTAAAAGGCTTCCTCGCTCAGCATGTGCTCTGCTTTGCATTGCGAACGGGAAAGCAGCTAAGAGGGTTTTTCTAACAGGATATGCACTGAGGTAGCCCAGCTTTATTCAGTTAGGGTTTTATTGATGCAAACCGTTACCAATAACGCTAAAATAGTTTACAGCAGCTGTAGATTTTTTTTTTTGCATGTATTGATTTTTTTGTTTAGAAGGCTTGGGCTAGTTTTATACAGGGCATTTGCCGCTGGATTATTGTAATTTTATGTCTAGCTCAAGCACATGACTTGATAACACTATTGATCTATTATGTCTTTTAGAACAAAACATTTAGTGTTTCATTTGACTACAGAAAGAACTTTTAAAGATAAAAAGTATCAAAATATTTGGATTCTAATATTAGCTTCTTTTTTTATACCTATGGGATAGTACAAAATTTTTTAGAGAATCAGAAAGTGCTAAAAATGTGAACACTTGCAAATAAAATATTAGAAATGCCTATTGCAATATGAGCAATTTCTAAATTTCAAATATTTTGAAAGGCAACAGTTGCCATCTAGAAGAATTTTTTTAGCAGGCTTTTTAATACTGTGGAGGTGATATCAGTTGCTCATTATCCCTGTTCTTACATCTTTTGTTCATGTGGAGGATTGCATCTTTGTTCCATTCCATTTAGATTTTGATGCCATTTCTGGTAGTCTCAATTCCTACCCAATTAACAGTTGTCAGCAGGTGCAAAATGATGTTATGTTTCTGTCTGACACCAGACAGCAAGGACAGAGCTTGAGCTGACAAATAAAATTGGTGGTCTCTTTCCCATTTAGAATCTGAGTGCACTGAAGCCTGGGATACAGATACCTGAGAGGGAAGGTGGGGTTGATGAAAATAAATAAAATCAGGAACTGAGTTATTCTTATATGCTCCCATCTCAGATTAAGCTTAGAGTTGGTATCATTCCTGACAAATGAATAATATGTATTTTAGTAAAAGTGCTGGACAATATTGATGAGAGATTTCGTTTTTTCCCCCTAAGTCATAAAGATCCTGTTTAACAAATTTGAAAGTTACAACTTCTAATTCTCTCTTTTCACAACAGGGTCAATCAGTTAAATGGCAGCTCTTCTGTGATGCTAAATCTCTTTAAGTAAAACATACAGTTGGGTTGCTGTCTCAAAATGTGGTCATGAGTTTCCCAGCAATGGTTTGCTTTTCATGAAGCACCAGCTCCTGCAAGAGTTTAAAGTCAAAACTATCACAGTCATTATTATGAAGTGATCTTCTTTTAGCTGTGGAGAGAAAGGTTTGCAAAGGTGGGCTTATGAAGCATCAAGATAAACAAGAAAAACTATTGAATCCTCCCAACTCTACCCCAACATTTTTAAATCACGTAGCATGATTTTTGAGGAAGTAACAAGACTGAACTTCTCTGAAGAGGAAAGCAGGCATGACTTTAGCCAGTCTGAGTCTGTTCTGAATACTTAAAAGGGAGTAAAGGGTTGCATAAATTTTCTGCCAGTCCTTTCTTTTCTAATGGTCTCTTAATACTTGGTGTTTGAGTATCCACCATTGTTTCCAGTTATTTCCACTTTGAGATCTGTCTGATTTCACCTGAAGAGACTGAGGCCTTTAGAAAGGAACCAGCCATGGACGCGTAAAAGTTCTTTTGATTTCTGTTATGTACAGTGCTGAAGAAGTGCAAAACTATAGAATGCATTATTATTTTCAGAACAGTAAGAGAAAGACAAGTATTTCCCAAATCTCAGTCTAACTCATACCCAACCTAAATATTTACTGTCACAGTATTTGCTGTGGGCCGGACCCTCAACAGTAGTGATGCACTGTAAATTGCTGAGGGAGAGGGGAAAAGATGCCTTTGAGCCACCAAAGTGCTTCTCCCAGTTCTGTGCAAAATGAGATTCATTCCCACAAGCCCTGCACAGGGACCAGGTGGAGCTGCAGGGAGACTGTCCTGCTTCTTCTGCTTCTAGTGTGTTGCCTATGCCAAGGGAACATACTTTACGCTAAACTAACAAAACTAATTGCAGGGCTTTTGAGAAAGAAATGAGTTGTGCTACATGTATATCCGTAACAGCAGAAGTCTTGAAAAGGCAGCCGCTAGCCTTAATCTAACCAGTGGAAAAGGTGTGAGTAGGCAGCTGTGTCATGTGAAACAAACTCTTACTGATGCTAAAAGGGTACTAAAAGCTTCGCTGTTTCATCTGGGTAATGTGTTCATGTCCCTGTATAACTCTCATCTCTGATTCATCTGCACATGAGCCTGAAAACTTGCAGGTAGTCTGTTTTATAAGAAGATAAATTGAATCTGAATGGGCAAAGAAGAACTATTTTTCTGTTTCCTCACTCAGTTTTGTTCTTTTTAAATTTTGGGACATAGGATTTTATTTTTAAAAGCTGTTTTTCCATTATTATTTTACCTGCATTTTTTTCCATGCTAATACACAAAATGATTTGGAAGTGAACTGGTGTGGAAGGCAAATCTAGAGCAGGTATAATGAAGCTATGCTTTAGAATCAAGATGCACTTGCTGCCTCCAGTGAGGATTTTAAACATTTTAGTCATCTTTTTAAATTCGCTTCGCTTTTTCGTAAGCTAATGTCTTTACAGTAAGCTACCAGAAATAACCCTGTGGCAGTGCATAGGCAGGACCAAGGACTGAACCTCCTTAAAAAATTTAAAAAGATATTTCTCCCATAGAACTAAAATATTGCTAAAGAATGAAAATAAATCTCAGCTCTATTGGTATTTAGCTGTACTTTTCTTATTCGTGTTACTTCTCAAACCACAAAATCTCAAGAAAATCAGTGCCGTTATCTGTGAAGCAAGTCATGTTTATTGTGAATATTAAAAAAACATCCATTAAGGTTATATTGATTAAGAATATAAAGAACAAAGGCCCACACACTATTTTCTGCTTTGTTTCCGTAAGATTATAACATTTTCCCTGCATTTGCTGTGCATGATTGTCTCAAATGATGCAATCTAAGTCATGTTGCAGGATTGGGTCCTATATAATGTAAAATTTTTAGCATTTATCTCCTCTCCCAGGTTTCCTTTTGTTGGTTTCTAGAATGGAATTTGAAACAATAGCTAATATTCATCAGCTCTATATTCTAAGAATAGAATCTTATGAAAAAAAAAAGTTAAAGCCACAAAACTCATGTTCAGCTGTTGGGTAACCTCTTGAAGCCCACTTTGTACTCTCGGCATCATTCTTAACGGTTCTTGCAGACAGTATAGAACATTGCTGTGTTTGTAATGATACTGTTTTTCATTGAGAGGTCTTTTTACTCTGTCCAACTTCTTTTCATGCCTATTGAGACAGTTTTAGTTGAATAACTGCCTCCACAGATGGAGGGACCTATCGGGTCATGTAGCCCATCTCTTTATACTGGATAGCTGTTACCTACTGCATGTCTTCTGGGTTAGTTCTAAAATGAAACAGCTGTTGACACAAGTAAACTAGGCAACTAAGGAAGTCTAATCACCTGCTCCAGAGTATCCTAGAGCACAATAATTAGGAAAATCAGAAAGGAGACAAAGATAAAAATTTCAAATTCTTTGGTCTGCTGAGGAATATGAAATTCTGCCAGCTACATCCCGAGTAAGTGTCCTACTCACTGAGATATTTTTTAAAAGGTAAGAGCTACTGCTACTATTAAGCTGACAACTCTTCTAACCTTTTGTTTATTTGTTCTTCAAGAAAAACTCCCTGAAAATGAAACTTTTGGTAGAAATGGTGAAATGAGCTGTTCCATTATTTCTTAAAAAGGTTATGAATTTTTCTTTTAGACCTGAGGTTTTGTTAATTTAGATCCTAGTTGCCAAATTGTTTCAGCTGAATTAAAACTGTATTTTTAACAAGCTGTTAATTGTCCCAGATTGCAGTAATAGAACTACACGTTAAGCCAGAAGACATTGAATTTCTTCAAGCATTTAGTATATGGAAAAGTTGATGTAGGACGGCTGTATGTTCGCAAGGATCTTTTACTTCTGGTGCATTTGCTGCAGGCAAATTGTGCTGCATTGTAGACAACAGTTGTGTTTTCAGTTGTAGGGGAAGCTTGTTGGTCTTGCTGTGCCTATTCGACAATCGATCAGATAAAAGTTGTAATGTGGGGTCACCTGCTGCTGTGCATAAAGCCAATTCCTTTCACAGTGATGCTGTCAAAACCACACAAACCTGAGCAATTAAGCAAGTTCTTCCTATCCATATTGGATGTGCTTGCAGATAGAGCTTTTCACTCTTTAGTACTCTGGGAGATATTCTTGTCAGAACTTTAAATGCATTAAGACCTGGTTTTCCCTATAAAGTCTATAGGGCCACGGTAGTCCCAGCATTATAATGAAGGTGTTTCTGGACCATTGCTTCTGTCTGAGTTAATTGTTATACAACAGCAGTCTAATATAGTGCATTTATAGAAGATTTCCTAGATTTTCATCATGATAGGCCTTGTGCTTAACAGGCACCTTCATCTTTGTGCAGCGTTTGATCTGTGACTTTCTGCACTGTCAAACATGCCTCAGATGTTTCTTTCCCTGTCAGCAGAGTAGAACTTCCTTAATAGCATATCTGGTCCTGTTAGGTGTGGTTTCTTGCTATATGCCCACTCCCCTTTACATGTGTCATCTTATCTCATCTGTTCTGATAGAAACTATTCATACAACGCAAGCTGCTTTCCTCTGATCTCTGCTAAATTGATGAAATTTGCATCTCTCTGAAGGCTCTTCCTCTGGATGGATGATTTTCTAACAAAAGATCATAGAATCATAGAATAGATGATAGGTAACTGATGATCATATTTGCCTGAAACAAAATAAAATGTGGCAACAAACACTCTACCTGTAGAAGAACCGGATCATGGAGACATTTTGGGTGGAAGTAGCTTGCTTTTCTTTTCAGTAGCTTTTTTCCAAGACTGTGCTGAGTTCCTAGGCATCCTGCCATAGTCATTTGGCTTTAAAAGGATCCACATCTTTTCAGAGCATTTCCAACTTACTGAACAGCTTATGTTGTATCTAATTTCTGTTATATTGAGCCTGTGGTTAGATAACTGTGCCCCCTCAAGTTCCTAAATGTAGCTCAGGGGGATCACTTCTCTAAGTCATTGCTACACCCATCCTGAAAGTAATATTTTAACTGAATTCTCATATTCAGGCCAGGCTTCTTGGAATATCTACCAATAGAAAAGTACAGCTTAAAGGATTGTTCTGTTTATGAGGCAGATGGCAATTTCTTGGCTTCCATAGAGGTAGATGGGATAGAAATTAGTATCTTACAAATTTTGTGAGTCACAGGCTGTAGTTTTTCTCATCCTTCTAAAGGTAGAAGATCAAAAGACCATATCCCACCGCTTATTAAATCACTTGCAAGTACTCCATTGATTTTAAGGGAAACAGAGTATAGTTCCTCTTATGAGCATCAAAATAGTACTTTGGGGAAAAAGCTGAAGAGATATTTATATAGAAATAGCAATTGTGACGTTCACTATGAAATATCCAAGGAACCTGTGACATGACATACTGGTTTAATGTATGGGTCTGTATCATGCTCTGTTGCCAGGATTGGGGAGTGCTTCAGGAAAGGGCACTTGATTTTTTCCCCCTGCTGTTACCAAAAATACTTTCTTAAGCAGTTATGCAAGGCTTTTATTTCCTGCATTCAGTAGGATTTCATTCCTTAGTGTAAGAGTGATTCACTTGAATCTTTTGATTTATGAAGCCCTGTTTTTATGAAATAATTCATCTTGTGTTCGAAGTTACACAATCATAGTTGTAAAATAGATTCTGACTTTTTTCCAGGTTTTCTAAAATGCTTTGTGAGTCTTCTGTATCTCATAACGTGGAAAAAAACCCCTAAACCCAAAATATTAACATGCATTAAAAAAATGAAGCCGTGTTGTTCGCAGTGCTTACAAGTGTTGCATGCTGTGCAAGCTATCATAAATTAATCTAATATAGTCAGTCGGCCTTAATAAAAAAAGTCTTGTTCTGTTCTTCACATCTAGTTAAGGATTTCCAAGTTCTGTTTATTTCTTTTAATCATGTTAAATGAAAATAGCAGACATAGTTAAGCTTTGTAAATAAACCTCCTGAAGTTAATTGTGCAGCTTAGACAACTTTTTAATAACTCTAGCATGCCTTCGTGTTAGACTATATTTTAGAATGTTGTGTTTATTAGTTTTCAAACAAATGTTTTTGTCAGTGCATAACATCTATCTGCCTGAGTTTACATGTGGATTGCTTCCTGGGTTAACTAAAGCCTGAGAAGTTCCTTTCCTTCCTCACATTGCTTACTCCATACATAAAGGGACAGACACTTGCTTGGCACATCAGGGCATTGTTCCTCACTTAGGCAGTAAGTTGTCAAGTCGGTCACTTGAATCGTGTTAGCCTTAGCAGAGTCATCTGAAAACAGTCATTCATGTTAAATAGATCCAGCTGTAATTAGAACCTGCAGCCAGAGGGATGTCAGGGGAGAAGAAATGAAACGTCCTCCTCTGACTATCCTCCTCAGACTAGCCCAAAGCTACGCTGCGTTAGAGCGAGTCGCTTAAAGGTTTGGAGTGGAGAAGTCAGTTCATGCTCTGTTATACTGCACACTCACCCCCTAGCTGGGTATTCTGAGTGTCAATCACTCATGAGAGCCTTTGTCTGAAGAGTCAAATGTAACCACCAAGGTACAGATCTGTAATATGATTTTAAAGCTCAGCACATTCATGCATTTAAATATTTTAGTAAAAAATGTGCTAAAATTTATTTTTCTTTTTTGAGTATTTCAAACATATGCTATAGTGCTAAAGCAGTGCCATATACCTCTGTGTGTGTATTCCTTTCTAGGTTGATCCCCTTTTTACAAGTGAAGTTGAGGAAAAAGTTAAAAGGTAAGGAGTTGATGTTAAGCCTTCTGTCTACTCCAAATGAAAGCAGTTGGCTGACTAGCTTTTTAAATCGTGTGCGTAAATGCTCTTTTGTATATACAAATGAACGTACATGCACTACTCTCTATGGCTGACAAATGTGTTCTGATTATTTGGCATGTAACATTCTCAGACTAGGTACTCTACACATTTTGAATTTTAGAATAATTGGTAGATCTCTTCATGTTTTATGTTAAATCACATCTGATTTAGTGTGATTTATATTTATTATTCTTTGGGGTCTTTTCATTCTTTCATCCTGGCTTCTGCAAGATTTTACATGCTTGCCGTTGATGGGTAAATGAGTAGATGGCCAAGATAGCCCTGTATAGCTTTTTTTCTGTCCCTAGTTCATATGCTTCTTGGTTGAAGGATATAAATGATAGAGAGATGAGATTTTTTTGTGTGTCTGCAGAACTTAGAATGCTCTGACTTGAACAGAATAACCATGTTATCTCTGATTGATAATATCTGATAATAAAATCTGCATAAAATATGTATTTTGTGATTCTGTTTTTGGAGCAAAAGATAGTGGTTTTTTGTTTTCTATCAGGTTATTCATTGACTCCTGTAATCATGTGTTCATACTCCAGTTGATATAGTTATTTATCTCCACAGAAGCTGGATGTTACTGCACAATCAGAAAAGCAATGTTTAACAAAGTATTTGACAGGGAGCTGGTCTTAATGTCAAATGCACTCGTGTTTCCATCTGTCTTAGTGATCTCATGTTGAGGTTGAAGATGTAGGAGCAGGCTCATCAAGCAGAGGAGATGGGGGCTTTTCAAAAACGGTCGCCGATCTTAAAGGTCTCATTCACTTCATCTGAGACTGAACACCTAATTACCCTATTTTTTCCACCCTTCATCCTTGATTTGATTGACCTTGATTAATCTGAGGAAGATGAAGACAGTAGAAATGTAACCATTCAGAACAGAAGAGTGCTTATAATAAAAGGGGAAGCAGAAGAGGTCTTTCAGAACCACATTCCGTCCCCAAAAGCCAGCAGCTGAAAAGCCAGCATCCTGCAGTTTATCATTCTGATGAATGTGCTGCATTTCCCTAAGTATTAAACTGTGTGTTTTTCATAAATCTCTGCAATCCTCCCTGTATTAAACAAATTATCCATTGAACTCAGCTCCTTCATTTATGAGACTGACTGTGGTTAACAGAGCATGGTGGGAAGTGGTCAACTATGAAACTCCAGAACAGCAGACAATGAGGTGGCGAATAGCAGTGTATGCTGTGTTGAGTTTATAACCACATTCACAGATGGAAAGCCAAGCAAAACTTGGTAAAGTGGCTTGCCCGTGGGCAAGCGATTGTTAACAGCAGAGCCGTGTCGGAATTGCTCTGGCCACCTTCCGTCATTGTCCTAAGTTTTAGGAAGAATTGTTAGAGCACGTTCTTAGGAGGTGTCATTTTGTTTCTAGGGCACCTGGAGTACATTTATTACAAGAGATGCCACAAGATGATCTTCATGCTGCTATGAAAAGGTGCTTTGCTGTGGTGAACAGCTCCATTTCAGAGGGGATGTCTGCTGCAGTTCTGGAGGTAATTGCATCTTAGCGGTAAGGTTTTTCCGTGAGGTTACAGTGAATCTGAAATCGCCTTTCATCACTGGAAATGTGTGTCAACATATGTTTCAAAGCTAGTGAAGACAAAACTAAAATATTTCTTTTTGCAAGTGTTCTTCCCTTGAACTGACAGTTTTTTATGCTTTGCTATTTATTTTTTAAAGGACAGAATGTAATTTTATCAATCCTGTTAAATTAACAATACAGACCTGAGATACAAGAATCATTCTGATTTACTGGGGTTGTCACTATCCTTGATTAACATCCACTTCCTTATAATGTTGCTAGAAAAGACTTTCATTTATTTTTACATCCTTTCAAAAAGCAATCTAGGAGCTGTATTTGGTTATTTAATTCTGAAATGATTAATGAATGAATGACACGCTCAGTTAGTTTTTTTGTCATCACTATTGAAAATTAATAACCAGATTTATTTCATACCTGTCAAAGTAGGGCCCTCCTTAGTATGAAATGCTTTCTAGGAAAAAAATAAATGTACTTACAGTGGAAGTTTTTGGGCAGATGCCTTTTACTATTCCATTTTTTCTGGTGACCGATGAATGTTGGTTCATGATGATCTCAGAAGATCACAGAAACTATTACATGATTTGTATTAATGAGTCCCCTGTTTCTGTTTCTAATGAGTAGTCAGAGGTTGCATTTCCGGCATGCTCTTCTTCCACACATCTGAAAGTCCTCATAAGTACGAGCTAAGTGAGCATTGTAAGAACTGTGAAAGTTAGATGATGTTAAAGTCGCAAATGTGTATTTCTTTTCTAAAATGCCAGTGCTCAGAGGTGGAAGCAGATGCTGTTTCACAGCAACAACACTCTATAAACAATTACTACAGACTGTGACATTTCCAAAATTATCAGTGTGGCAGGCTAGACAAATTTTGTATGTTCGGTAGTTGAGATGAAAGGGAGCGTATCACACAGTACACAGCCACAACGAAGTCAGTGACTCGGAGAAGTAAAAGTTAAGTAACTGTCACCTCCTCCTCACCAGTTACATGTTCCCTTCAGGAATACTCATGTAACAGTTGATCAAAAATCAATCTGATTTATTTCCTGAGAGTGTCAGTGAGTTGGGGGGTGGGGAGGGGTGGGAAGGGAGGGGGGGAAGCAAACCAGAAGGACTGTTGGGACACAGCATCTGCAACAGAAGTGCAAGTGCGCTTGGCCTGATACAAATTGTTATGCAAACTCAGGACTGAAATGACAATTGGTATCGTTTCCCCCAAAATTTTCCCATCAGGTTTGAGGAGTTAAGAGGCACTTTCCTTAGCTTTTCTCAGGAGAGGGAGCAATCTTGTAAGTTCAGTGTCTTATCAAATATATGGTAGCTCAAAGCCAAAAGGTAATGCCAGTTTACTTCAGAGGTAACGTTGAACCTGCTTCAGGAATTACTGATTTTTGCTCTTCTCTTTCCAAGCTGCAATTCTGAGAAGTTCTGAATCTGATAATTATAAAACTAAATCCACAAGGAAAGTTTTTATTTGAGCTCTTCTCTGTGTGGCTGAACTATTCAGTTGTTCTAACAGGGCTATCAAATAGCCAAATACCACCTCTAGAGGAAATCTGTTCCTTTAAGTTTCCATGACACAGTTATGTTGGGTAATTTATTCCCAATTCATACCCAGACCTGTCAAAAAAAAAAAAAAAGGAGAAAAAGAACGAAAGAACCCCCTCCAACAACTGTTGTTCTCACTGAAAATTAGTAGACAGAGTAGTAAATACTTCCTGTTGTATTTCTGTTATTTCTCTAAGAATTAGAAGACTATTCTGGCAAAAGAGCATTCTATGCAGGATGTCTTTACATACACCTGCAATGTTAGCTTCCTCCATTTTGATGTTTTTCTCACAGCAGAAAAAAGTATGCACTAGGATGAATCATCAAGAAGTATTCCTTGAAATTTTTCATGCTGAATTTATCTTTATATGTATATATGTATACATATATAGTAGATTAGTTAGTATTACTTTTTTTATCTTACATGTAGCTGTGCATATCATGTCCTAGGCTAGTCTTATGATTGATACATTTAATTCTACTGACGACACTGCCTTTACTAAAAACAAAGTTAATCTACCTTTAAGTATTAATCTGAGTTTAACAGCTAAACATGCTAAAATAAACTGGCAGTTGACCGTAGTGGAAGAATTAAATTCTCTCTTCTACGTGCAAGACTTGACCTATAGTAGGCTGTTAGCTATTTCCTTGTACATGATAACTTTTTCATAAAAAGCAGAGAAAAAGATCCTTCTCTCCTTTCTTCTGTTATTACATTGGTGGAATAATGTCAAACCTAATAGTCAGGTTTGGTTTGTGTTCATGCGTAATTAAGTGTTGAAGATAAAATGCAATTTCAAATATTCTGAAGTAGAATATTTCCTCCTGGAAACTCTATAACCATAGGTGCAACCCACTTCTTTCCACCAGCCTCGGTCCTATATTGCTTTGTTGAATAGTGGAGGAAGGACAACCTAATCTCTGAACTGCTAACTCCTAACTTGGAGTTTATCGTGGAAGTCATGTATCGGGTATAAAAAGAGCTGGCATGCTTTCAGAAGCCTGAGCGTGCTAGTTGAGGTGCATATTGGTTACAAGCAAATGAGTTACCAATTGCAGGTGCAAACTGAAATCTTGCATTACAGGAAGGAAAGTCCAATAGACCTGGCACAGGTATTGTTAGACAGCAGCTACGATCCCAGCTGAGTCAGGATTTGCTACAAGCAGAATTAGGTCTTCAGTTATATCTTGAGAAACTACCTGAAGCTTGTGCTTTTTAGTGCCTCAGACCTGTTTGAATTCTTCTAAAGTTATAAGGATTTTGGTATTGGTACATCTGTTTACTAGGCAGTTGTACAGTGGCATTTGATGACATGCTTATAAAATATCCTACTGTAAAAATGTCTCTCTCAAAGGAAGTGTCAATCTAATAAAGTCAAGTCCCTGCTTGAGATGGCCAGCAGTAGGAAGGGCCATCTGTTAAGATACTGTTAAATTAATAAGGCAGAAAACTATATATAAAAATCTTTTGGTCCTAGGCTGGTGATGACATCTTGCTCAAATTTGGAAATGCAACTTTCATTCTCTTGACAGTTCAGAATTTTAACAAGGTCATGAATCTGTAAACAGTATTTTAGTATGAGATAAATATATTTGATAAATGAGATACATAATCATATTTATTTCAACCTGCCTTAAGGTGTGAAAGAACTAGAAGCCATGACTAATTACTTTGTCACCTAGTACTGATATCTCAGAGATTTTGCGTACTGATCTATTTTCTATTTGGCATTTGAAGAAGAGAAAAGCAGCGTTATAGCAAGTGTTTAAAATACATCTCTTCCTCAGAAAGCTCAGGAGTTCTGCATGTTCCTGGGCATGTGATGGTGAAAAAGGCATTACTACTGGAAAATTTTTTATGTTCTCTATATGGTTGGTAAGAACCATTTCATTGGAGTACTTTTTCTGTGCTCTCAATAGTATTCCCACTGTTGTAAAATCATTAGATTGTTATAGTTTTACCAAAAAAAAAACAATTAAAAAAAAAATCATCATAGAGAAGGAAGATGGCTAGACTCTGTTCTGCTCTAGGGCAAAATCCAGTCTTAGACAACATGTGAAGTACAGGCCTTGTAGTCTGAAATACAAGATATAGCAAACTATAAAAAAATAAAAATGAAGGGATGTTGTAGAGCCATAAAATTGAAGAGGGGCCAACACAAAGATGCATAGGCTGGGTCGAGGGAAATGAGGGACAATCCAGAAGACAAAATAGTAAATAAAACCTGTATTTACTCTATAAGCCTTATACTGCTGGTTAGAAATGCTTATTGTGTAACATGCTTCCAAAGCTGAAATTTACGCCCTGCCTCCTTCTGAAATAGCATTAAAACACATTTGCAGTCAGAATAATGTAACAAAACAGATGGCCAATGGACTAAAATGTTATTGTATGCTATTATTTGTGGAACCTAGGTCACTAAATTATACATATTTTCAACAATGCAAATGATTCTTTTTTACTGCTTAAAAATACACTAAGTATCTAAATTAAATTCTAAGCCACTTCATGCAGTAATTATTTACAGCCCAATCCATTTGTTTAAGCCTAGCTGGTATAAAGGCAGCCCCTCATTTTATGTGTTTTGCCATCTGTTCCGTCTTTCAGTAGATGTAATTCATTGGTACCTATGTGTTTTGGGACCTGAAAGTTTTCTCATGTAGCAGTTACTGCCCTCCAACTCTATGAGACAGAACAAATGGCATTCCCTTTAGAGTTCAGAAATTATGGAAAATTAAATACAAACTTAGCGATCAACTTCAGTGAATCATCAACTGTGTAGCATTCAGAAATAGAAGTGAATGAACATATCTTGAGGCAATTATTTTTTTTTTAAATGTGTGCTACGGTCCAGTCTAAACTGCAGTACAGCAGGACTGTGCCAGCCTGTGCAACCACACCACTAGGTACAGTCCAGCACAGAACTGCCACAGGCCACTCACTCACGTGTTTGATGATCACTGTCGATGTGCAGCCCAACGGCACAGTGTCCACTGCTCACTGCATCTGATGTGCTCAAATCCAGACTCCTCACTGTCTTGCAAGTTGTGGAGGTAGTGGGTTGTGCTGTGTTTTGTGTGGTTGCTTCTTTCTTTCTTTTTTTTTTTTTTTTTTAAAATGAATGGACAATTGCTTGTTTGGAAAGCAGCCAGACCTGAAACACTCTTACAGTTTTGGTTTTTAGAAGGAGAAATACAAGGAGATGAGGAGAGGGCCTTAGGCAGGTGACAACGAAAGCTGACACACTTCACTGCAACTATCAAGCTCTTGATTTTCAGTTCAGAAGGTCAAGTAAAATATCTTCATTCCCTGCTCATTGAACGTGTTTGAATGAGGTCAACAGCCAGCAGACTGAACACAAGGGCATTTGAGCTTGTCAACAGGAAGGGCTGAAAAAGAGCTGAATCAGAAATTCTGTCTCTCTTGGAGATGTTGAGGCTTCTGTGGGATCCCCGTGTCAGGTCTATAGTTGGGTAATTAGAGCCAAAAGCAACTTCCTCGACCTGCAGATTCAAAACCTGTCAGGCAGACTGGGGTGCTGATATTTCGCATTTCCTGGTGAACTTTGAAGTTCTATGAACTTTGCTGTACTGATAAGCAGTTACTGTCTTTGTATATTTTTGTAAATCTCCCTTTGGAAAACAGATTCGTTTTGTTTAATAGTGAAGTCAGAGCAAATGACAAAATAATTTGTGGATGACTAAAACCTGTATTTCCTCTCACCAAAATAACTTTTTTTTAAAGTATTTTTAAAAAAGCTGTAGCTCAACAACTTTAGACATTTAGATAAATTCAGAAATCTGATCTGTAGCTTTCATATTTCTCATTTATTTATTCTGGTTTCTGTTCACTTCATTAATCTGTTTGTCTGAATTACCTCTGGCTGATCCAGTAGTTTCTCATACAAAGTGTGGAACAAATTAGTTCATTAAGGGTTATTATTATTTTTAGAGCTAACTGCTGCAAAGCAGGTGTTTGTGCCAGGACTATAGAATTTCTATGTCCAGAGTAGCATCTGCAGTGGTGATTTGAACAGTGTTTCTCTTGGATATTTTAAGCTATTGAGTCCCTCACTGTTCAAAACATAATTGGTTCTGTATGTTATTAGCCAGGGTATTTTTGTCTTCAGTTTTGTCTGAACTATAGAAAAGTATGGTTTTCTCCTTGGAGTTTTGTTTTCTTGCCATGTAGACTGAAGAAAAATTGCTCCCCATCCGGGAGAGTAATGACAGTAATTAAAAATGCATTCACTCTGAAGTGACGGGGAATCAGTATGAAACAGACTGAAGATTTGAGGGAGTGAATTTCTTTCTCTTGTTTGACACTGTGATAATTGTACAATATGATTTTTTTCTGGTTTTACAGTTGGTGCATCTCAGGACTTCCAAATTCATCAACAATAGTAACTGAAGTTTCAGATCAGGATATGCATGAATAACAGAGTTGAATGGCCAGGGTTTGCACATCAGTTACTTCAAAATCTAAGCCATATTTTTTAAAGTTGACAGACGTTGGGTGTCAGAAATGGTTTACTAGCTTTGAATGGATGCTGTGCTGCATCTCTGCTCCTGCAGAGCAACCTGAAATGCTACCATGTTGAGACCCCACACTTCCTTTCCTTTTTTTATGTATGTACGTACATGTACATATACATTTACATACAAATGAATAAATACATCAAGCAACTAGCCCATAATTTATGTCAACTCAAATCCTACTACTTCAGATGCATTCCATGGTCTCCGAGGAGTCCCATGCCAATAGCTTTGTAGATAATATGTTTTGAAAGCATAATGTGTTCTGAAAGTATAATCTTTTCTCTCCTGTCCTTGGTATAGTTCAGTCAGAAGCTGCGTCACTGCATACTTCCCTGCAATCCCTGAATGCTCAAAGTCCAAGACAGGCTATAGTAACAGATGCTGTCAAAAGAAAAACTCCTTCTGGAGTCCTATATGACCCATAGGAATCAGAACTGAGGAGAAAGAGACAAGTGATTTCCATGGTCGCTTTCAGTGCCGTTGAACTGCTGACATCTCTCCAGTTCTGCACATGTTACAGAAAATCTGTGAAAAATGTGTTTTAATGGAATGAGAGAACAGATACTTTGTTGGGGAGAACTGGCTTTTTGTGCTATGAACTAATCTGCTTGTCTATGCACAATAACAGTAGGAGTTACAGAGACAACCTTGATCTGAACTTTAATTTTATCCTCTTCAAGCCTGCTATATGTCAGGAGCTTCCAGTGGGAAACAAACTGCATACTTTGAGGTGGAAAAGAATAGAGGATGAAGCAGCCATCTAACTTTGTGGATTGATTGCTTCTGGTAACATGATCAAAGTTACAAGACTAACAAAAATATAAACAAAATATTTCAGAGAAGTTCCATATAGGAGATCACCTCAGACATGGTATTTTCCAACTAAAAAATTGAATAGTGGGAAAAGAAGTTTGTTTTGTTGTTTCTGCTTTTCATTTTAAAATTGTCATGAACATCTCAAAATCCCTGAATCCTAATAACTATTGTTTCCTTTTTCTATATTCCTCTAGGCAATGGATTTAGATGTTCCAGTGCTGGCAAGGAACATTCCTGGGAATGCAGCAATAATAAAACATAATGAAACAGGACTGCTATTTTCAAATCCCCAGGTAAGAAAACAGCAAATCCTTAGACCTTTCCCTTCCAAAGGTTAGGTTCATTTTCCGTTATGTGCTTGTGTCTGTCTGGAAACTTGGCTTTTCCTTTCAGCAGTTTTTCTCAGATTCTCCTAAAAACCTGGGTGTTAGACTGCCTTTCTTGAAGCTCTGCTGTTGTCTCACGTTCACTTTGCAGTTCACTGTACTTTTACTAGGTGTCAGCCTTGTTGAATGTTTGTCTGCCTGTGCCGCTTTAGAGCCTGCCATCTGAATGGGGCTCGGTTCTCATCAACTTGTTGCGCTTTAGTTTTGAAGGTTCCATTAGCAAACCCTGGAAGAGATGCTCTGCATATGTCATATTTCACTTCAAGTAATAACTGAAATACAAACTCGTATTAGAGACGCAGTAGCTAAGCAAAAGAGGACTATCAGCCTGAAGTTTTAGATAATACATTATCTGTAATTTCTAGCAGTAATTGTTAATATAAAGCATTGTTAGGTCCAATATATTGCTCAGTCAGAAAATAATTAATGAGTAAAATTAAGTAAAGTGTTAGAATGGAGTTTCTGTGAAGATAAGTAAGAGTGGGGAAAGAAGGAACCCTACCCATATTTAAATGCTGGAAATTTTCATTTTGGTGTATTTTCCTGAATTATGGCTTTGCTGTTAACAAATTTGTATATGTTGTGGAAGATGACTTTCAGACACAGATTCCCTCAGTATTTTTATCCAACTCAAGATTAAAAAAACCTTTCTAGAATAGTCCGTTTGATAATTTTGCAAAGTAGAAAATGTATCATATTTATTTACTTTGTGGAGTGTGTGATTAATGTGTCCTATTAAGCTGTGTTTCAGGAAGGTCAATTCTCTTGGTTAGTTTTTGAGGTTTTTTAATAGAAAACTTCTTGCAGCTCATGGCTTTTGGGGTTTTTTTTTGTGTTTTGTTTCTGGAATGTTCTTTGTTTCCGATGGTTTCTACAAAAAAAATTCTTACTTAACTTCTGGAATTTATTTTGTTGCGGAAGTATTCCCTCTTCTTGCATTATCCTTTGGAAATGGGGTAATTCCAGGCTGTGGAGGCTGAGATGTAAAGCTATTTATAGAATTATTTGTACATGTATTCCCTGCAAAAAGCCCATAGACGTCCATATGCTTCTTCAGAACCTCAAGGATATATGATGATGTTGAACACACAGATTGATGGCTCTCCTGATATTAATTCTGATACATTCTCTTTGTTTCCCTCAACATGCTGGTTTCATTTGGCTTGGAATTCAAATACATTATTCATACCAGACCCAATTAGCTTCATCATGCATCCTTGTAAGAAGCCTTTTCTGTGATCTCCAAGCATCCTACATTCCACGTGTTTATTTGGAATTCAAGATCAATTAAAAATATGCTATATATTTCCTCACTTAGAAGAAAGTGCAATTTTAAGCACTGGAAGTAGTCCCAGTGACATCAGTGGCTCTGTACAAATGGCTAAGGACTATCTTTTATATCTGAACTAGAGTCACAGGCTGTAAATTTGTCTAGAATGCTATCATCTTAGTTTCTATGAACCCTTTCTGTCTGAGCTCACTTCTCTGCAACATGCTATGCCAAAGATCAGAAACACCCCCATTCTGCTGCTGCTTCTTGAGTCCTTTTTCACTGTTACTCTGTCTCAGAAGTCCACAAAATATCTTTTAAGTGAGGATGGTAACTTGCATTACCATGTTAGGTATCATACTCCTAGGTAATACTTGTACTGGAATCACTAATGTTTGTGCAGTTACCCTGTCTTAGAAAGGAAAGGAATACCCCTGCTTTCTCTGTAAAACAGCAATTGTATCTCATTTAATAAAAGCCCTTTTATACTTTCATTGGTGTCAAATAATGTATAAACTATCAAAAGTTTGCAAATGGGTCAGGAGAATATTTGTTTACAGGATAATACTCTAATCCCACTGTAGAGTTGTTGACAAACTTTCTTCTTGCAGAGATGAGCTCAGAATGCCAGTCATCACCACTTAATGGTTTTAAAGATAAAGTAACCATTTAATCTTGTTCCTTATCTCCTCATCCATATCAAATGCAGTTTTTAAACCACTGTACACAGTCTATCGGAGAGTGAGAGTTGTATTAGATCAAAGAAATGCGATGAAGTTAAAACACTTCCCGTTTCAAGGTATGCCTCATTTTTATTGTTGGAAGAAGGAACAGTCTGCCCATGGCATTTTGAATACTGCCTTAGAAGATTCAGTCTGACAGTATGTTCTAGTGAGAACAAAAAACGTGTTCTAGTAAGAAGTTTTCTGGGTTTTGTTACTCTGATTACTTTGACATCTTAAATATCTGGTAAACTATTTTCTGCTGTAACCTCAATTGCATACGGTTAGTTAAGGAAAATGCTTTAATCTTACAGAGAGATTAGTACTGTATTCAGGTGCCTGGGAAGTCTGTTTCTGTCTTGAAGAACCTGGACCACCAAAGATTAGAAAATGTCAAAGACATTTTCATTGCTAAGTTTAGTGGACCCTGTCTGGTTGTGGTGATACAGACTGTATCATAGGTCAAGAGTAGAAAGCATTGCTTATTTTCAAGCTGTTACTGATCTGGGGAGGGAAGGCTTTACAATATGGTTAGCTTAGATATGAGCAGTTGTGTCTGGTCTGTGGACTACCTTATGTTTTGGAAGCTAAATTATAGGAATGTAAATTGACCGTTACACAGTGAGAATTGTTTTAAATTGTGAGTGCTGTTGGTTTTCTTCTTTTATTGTTGCTGAAAGTGAGCTTTTGTGGCTTACAGGAACATAGGAAATTTTGTGCGTAATTGTAGTCATCATTAACCATTCGCATTTAGGCTGGGGCTTCATGCCTGGAAATAGTGAAAGCCTTGCCAATCACTGACAATAATACTCAGATGGAAACAGTTAATGTAAAAGTGAAAGCCATGAAAAGTTTTGTCCTTAATACTACATCATCTGTGCATATTATTTTAAATCATGATTTGATCCTGCCACTACTTGAATTTGAAAGTTTATGGAATATTTGACATTGCGTTAATGGGCCTGGAATAAAAAAATAAGATACAAGAATAGGACACTAAATAATGCAAAACCGTGTGAAAAGGGAAGGCGCAAGGAGTTATTCAGCATCCTAAGTTTCAAAATTATGTGTTCAGCATCTGTAAAAGCTCACAGAAGGAGCTAAATAAACAGAAGGAGGTAAATAAACTTCAAAGCCAGTAAGAAGGGGACCAAGCATAAACAGAGTTTGAGAGAGAGCAGGACCTGGAAAGACTACTGTTAGCAGAGACAACTTTTGAAGTGGTCAGAGGGAAACGCAGCTCAGCCGAGTATGGGCAGCAATACATCGAAGGCACAGTGGTCTCCTCTGCCTAAACCTGGGTCAATGCCATTTCTGCCAGGGCTTCAAGCCAGCATATAGCCAAAGTTTTCAGCCCTTTGAACTTTCACCCTGAATAGACTAATTTGCAATTTTTGGCATTGCCAGCAATCACTGTTTATACTCCCCTAGAAATACTGGCCCATTTCCCTGTGAAGTACACAAATGTGCCAGCTAACTTCTGAGCTTTCCCTGCCACTAGGTAGATCTGTCGCTGTTCTGAATTTACATCCGGCGTTTGCCTTCCCTGGGGTGATTCTGTGTTGTTTAAAAATCATGTTCTTTTATCTGCTGAAGCTGATATGAAATGGTTTAATTGCAGACTTACTTTCATTATATAAATAATGTATTAACCGTGCATCTTATTTTCATTATGCGTGAGCTGTGGCACCGGCATAGTTCTCATGGTAATTGAAGGAATATTCATTCTTTTTACTCAGCGCACTCATTTTGTAGCTTTATCTCCCACATACCTGTATTTCTGGGTCTCTAAAACATATTGTACAGAATTTCTTTTAGGTACTATATAGAGAAGCTGACATTTTCTTTAAAGATGATTGGTCAATTTACTAGGAAAAAAATGTATTATGGATGTTGCTGTTGAAAAATGCCTGTGTTTGAAGTGAAGTACTACCCAAAGAAAGGGCATGTATAATACCAGTTCTGGATGTACATAAGGTTATCTTCTCCCCTGTTTTTTATGGGTTTTGGCTAACTACTGAGGTTCAACTTTTACACTGTGTTTTTCTGTAGCGTGTATAGTAATTATACCAATTTCTGTAGGTGAACAAAAGGCTTATTAGAAATATGGATGTACCCCAAGTAGTAAGTTAGAGTGTGTATCACCTCCTTTGTTTTGTCCACTGAAGCACATACCCTTATCTTTGATAATTCACAAGTAATTAGTGAATTTTGCCCCTCACCAAAAGTGAAGCTTACTTCGCATCTACAAAGTAATTAGTGAATTTTGCCCCTCTCACCAAAAGTGAAGCTTACTTCGCATCTACAACGAGACATGACAGTGCACAAATATTTGTGCAAATATCGCTTGCACAAATATTACAGCATAACAGTCACCACACTCTAAGTAGTTTCTCTGTCATAGGCTTCTAGAAAAGAAAAATTAAATGCTCCATTTTCTGAAAGTGCTCTGAGTTTTGAGTGTCTGCATTCTGAAAGTGGGAGTCCATGCTTCAGACTTACCACAAAACGACAGCTGAAATGCAAGTCAGTTGTAGTTAAGGGAGACACCTGAAAAATGAAGTTATTGCTATCTGAAGCTGAGCACCCAAGACTGAAAACAAGCTAAGCCAGCTGCTCGAAGGGTATGAGGCAGAACCCAGATAAATCATAGTGAATCTTCCCATTGGCTTCCAGTCAGATGGCAAGTGACTTGTAGGTGGTCACATTCGATTAGTAGGAGAAGTAGGGATAAAGCTGAGAAGTCCTTATTCTCCATCTCCTGGTACTTTTCCATTTGCTTTTTCTCTCTCCTGCAGTTTCTTAACTTTTATGCTTTGGACTCAGTTTGGCATTTTCTTGAAATTATCCCCAGCATTAAGTATTGTAACTGTGAATAAGGATCTCATTTCTTCTATCATTTACATGTTTCCAAGTTTTTGTCCTCTATATCCAGATTTTAAAAGAATGCTAATAGGACTACCTGTCAAGAAATGTTACATTGCTGCTTCTGTTCTTAGGTAATTTACATAAATTATTTTTAAACATTACTTTAAATAAAATCCTCCACAGGAGCATAAAATTAAAGTTGGAATGTAGTTCAGTGTGAACAGTATTTATTACTGTGATTATACAGGCAATTGGATGAAGCCAGCATAAGTCATGTAAGACTTTCCCACCTTCCCTGCTCTGTATTCTTGGCAGACAGGGAGGAAGGGAAAGAACATATCTCTCGAGCTGGAGTCACCGGCTGTATCTGCAGTGTCTGAGAGGCGCAGCCGCAGGGTCCTCTCGAGCCCGGGCTCCCCAGTCTCCCTCGGGGACGGTCTCACCGGCGGTCAGCACACACAGTGTCACACACAGCCTCCTCAGAGCGCACGGGCCCCGAGTGCGGGGCAGAACGCACCAGTTAAATTAGCACATGCCTGAGTGCGGGGTAGTTGTGGGTGGGAAGCAGGCTGGATAGGAAGCGTGTGGCCCTCAGGGCTATCCCAGAGGCTGCTCTTTCAGTGCTGTGTGGACAGAGCAAAGATTACAAGCAGTACTCATTTTATGCAAAATAAGGGCTTATTGTTAATATGCATATATGAAATCAACTTGTTCTATTACCTAGTTACAAACCTTTCCAACAGAACTGATGTGCATCACTGACTTTTTAAGTTTCGTGGCAGCGATGCATATATTGATAGTTTGTCTTGTCAGTGAGAGTCAGAGCAGTGATTATAACTTGTTCATTGTGATTTCACGTATCAGCGTTTCCCAGGGGTCACGTTATAGTTATGTATTATGCATAGCCGTCGCTTGCATTACAACAGCAACATTGATTCTGTGGTAGCCAAAGGTTTTGTATCTGTGTATGTATTTATATACACTGTGTACTTAGGTTTTCAAGTATAGTTTGCTAGTTAACCTAGTGTTGATGTGAACTCTGGTCTTATTTGCGATATTTCCTTTCGTAGCTGACAGATTGTGTAAATGATATATCTCCTTCTCCTATCCGTTTTTTCCCCCACATCCCTGTGCACTGATCTTCACTACCAGTTGTGTAGTAATGCATTATCTTAGTTTCCCATTGACACAACAGCTATCTGCTTTTCTGAGCTGAACCAAAACACTGTTTTGCAAAGATCTGAGCACACTTGTAATCAAGCTGAAGTACTGGAAGTTGTCTCTTGATAGAAAACTAGACAAACCTCTCAGAATAGATTAGTTCAGACATCAAATCTCCTTTCACATGTTTGAAGTTCACAATTTCTCTCCTCTAGAACTAAACTAGAGTAGCAGAGGAGCAGGCAAAGGAATACTTGTAATCTATGAGGTCTAGTATTGTGCCCAGTAAAGTTAAAGGAAATTCATATATGGCTTTTTTGCGGAGCTTGTTGAGCTAACACTGCTGTATCTGTAACTGCCCAGGTGCAACTACTCCAGAAGAGCTTGTTGCTGCATGCCTGCTCTTATCTTTATACTGTGACTATATTTATGTAGTGAGGTTTTTTTAGTCTTAGCATAAAATTAACTAAAGATGTCACAGCAGCAATGAGATATAAGTTTAGCTGAGCTGAGATCAAACATCTGATGCCGGTTGACCTCCACCCAGGAGACCAGGTGAATTATTTAATTTATAACCAGCCTGGTTTTCTAACACTTGGGTAGGCAAACAATTATTGTGCATTAAATTTGTTGGTCATATTTGTCTCAAGGCTCTTGGGATTGTCCTTGATTTTAAATGTCTTAATTTGTGGGCTGTGTAAAATAATAGATAAAATAATTATTTGTTGATCATTGTTTATACATAAACTATGGTAGTTGACCTTGAAAAATTACTTTAAACAACTTCATATATTGGCTCACAGTTGAAGTGCTTTACTGAAATCAAGATATGGGTACAACCTATTTCAGTATCACTAGAACTTCAAGGAACTTTTAATTTATTATTTTCTTTATCTTTTTTAGGAGTTTGTTGTGCTGTCCAAGAGTTTGATGAATGACCCCATTATGGAAAGAGATATTGTAACAAGGGCCAAAGACTACGTGAAGAAACATCATTCATGGGAAAGCGAAAGAAAAGCCTATCAGAATCTTGTCCTAAGACTCCAGTGAACTGCAGAACTACAGTTGATACCCAGCAGTCTATGTAGAGCACTTTAATGATGGATATGTGATTAGATTTGGATTTCTCTTGGCTTCTTTTTAGAAGAGATAGTAAGACATGCATCATTGTTCTATTCAAACATACCAACATCACAGGAGTTGCCTGCTACTCTAAACTATCAAGTTTATCTAATTCAGCACACTGTCTCTGTTTCATCATAGACCAGTATCATTTTGTAAGATCACATAGGAGAAATATACTCCTTGAGCAGACACAAAGTTTCTGTTGTTGTAAGGCCTCAAAGGGAGGATGATGTGTTGTGTGCAGTGGAGCACTCCACCACCTAAAGCTTACATCAGATGTTCTGATCGTGTGGCATCCTAACCAAACTGCAGTAGCAGTTTTCTTTCCAATTATACCTATCTGAATGTAGTCAGGTACCTGTGACACACACATACGTGTTCATAAAGCCAAGATTAATTATATAAACTGAGTATAAAATTAAGATGAAAGCTTTTTTAAGACTGAAAGATCAATGTATCTGTTGACTGCATGGTGATGTGGGGGCCAAAAAAGCAAGTGGAGTGTTGATGTTTGGGGAAAGTAAGGAGTACAGGGCATGTCTTGTACTGCCCTCTAAGTACCTGAATTGCTTTCAGATAAGCTGATATGGCCAAACAGTCCCATGCCTGCATTTTCTTTTGGGTCTTGGGGGGAGAGCAGGAGGGTTGACACAGCACCCGGCAGCTGTACAGGGCTTCACCTTCCAGAACTGCACAATGCTGCCTGCAGCAGCAAGACGTGCTTGCGGATGGAGATGCTTTGTTACGTAAACTACCTCTTGGTTTGCCAGTTTCTTGGTACCTCTGTGATTTACTTATTTACTAAAAGATTTATGAGACCTGTAAAAAGGGATGAAGAGGAAAAAAGGTATTTTCACTTTACTATGTATTTTGGTACTGTTCGTTCTTGTTTATGGCTTTTGGAATGTATGCTATATACCATAGCAGGCTATTTTAAAGTGAGACTTACCTGTGCTTGAAGTCCATACTAAACATTCCTGCCAGCCCAGTGATTATGGACATATCTGTGAATCTGTAATTGGTCATCAAAGGACTTACATTTATAGAAGACAAAGAGGGCTGTATTTTTAACTAGTTGTTATTAGGAAACTCTATTTGCTGTGTGTAGGCTTGATCCTGCCCCCAGTGAGAACCAGTGAGATGTGTTCTATTGATTTGGATGGCTGTTGTGTCAGACTTTTCTTTGTAATAATGTAGTTCACTGTGTATTTTAAGCTTTCCTGTCTATTTTTGGTATTTTGCAACTGTTGGGACAGTAAACAAGAAAGTAATTTGAATGTTGTATATTGACTTCTCCAAAATTTTCCCCTGTTTTATTGTAATGGGCTTCTGCTCACTGTGCCTTTGATAACGCAATTCTCAAGGGCAAAACTGGCCTCCTTTGAATTGCTACACTCTCTTTTGAGCACATTTTTCCTAAATATTTCTGGTATGTCCTTTGACATGCTGGGATGTAAGTACATCTGTGCTAGTTCTCAGTTTAAAAGCCACCAGCCAACATCTACCACTGAACAGTTTTTAAGTCTGCAACTGTTTGGGTTTTCCCTGGTGTCTCAGGAGGAGCCTTATTTATTTAGACATTTCTGTTAAGGGCCTCTCGTGGGATTGCAGTGTGTCTTTTGGCCACAGAAAACTGTACTAAAGGAGGAACCCCTATAGCATGGATTTTCAGCGTGACATATGTGGTATGGGACCTTTATGTGCAATAGAAAAAAAAAAAAAGGCCATTGATAGCTAACTGAGCTGACTGCAGGGGGTCCTGTTCCTCTCCAGACATCTTCTCACAGATCTCCTCTGCCAGTGTCTCTGATAATCTGCTTGTTTGGCTTTGATCCTTAGCCATTCCCCTGCCCCCCCCTTCCTATAGTATTGGCTGTCTTCAGAGAAATACAGATTATTAAAAATAAGTAAACAAATACATAATGTGGGCTAGACGTCTAAGCATTGAGCTTATGGTAAGTGATTAGTAACAGTAATGATTAGAAAGCTTTTTCTAAAGTGTGATATATTTATTATCAAGCTTCAAGCAACTAAATACATTGATCTGGAATTTGCGCTATTTCCAGCGAAACAAAACACGTTCAAGTGAGAAATTCTGCTACACCCTCAGAATGTAATTAACATACGATTTTTCAGGCTGTATTTAATCTATAAATATGAAATCTGCAATTGGGAAACAGCATGCTCATTTGCATGTGACAACCATACTAGAAGCACAAACAACCCTTCTGCAATGTATGCATTAGGAAAAAAAAAAAGAAAACAACCAAAATAGTGTGAGATCAACCCTCAGGACTGTTTTACAGTCATCAAATGAGGCAGCCTTCATCCATCAAGGGCATTCAGCTTTGATATCATTTATCACATGGGCTTGTGTTCTGCAACATGAAGCCTGTCTGTTAAGGCTGAAAGGTTGGGGCAACAACTGCTAGGGATTTTCATCATAATCAATTGCTGTGGAATTTATGTTTTAAATTTCATCCAGTCTTATGTACCAGGTCCATAAATATTCGATGAGTCTTGTAAGTCCTTGTAAAGAAAATATTAGACCCATGCAAGCAATTTCAGGTGTAATTATCTTTCAAGCAACTTCACTCAAACGATTTTATATTTAGGAATAATCCTTTTGTGGTCCTGCAGCCCTAATTATAGTATTTATCTTCCCCCTTCAATGTCCCATTTCTTATCCTAGCAGCTTTTAAGCAAGGCACACCTTGATGAGATACAGATACAGCTCCAAAAATAGCACTTGTTCTGTTCGCAGAAAAAACCTGCATTGTGCATTTACCCCGCAGCTAATTCTGTATTTCAGGACCTTGAAATGTACTGTTAATTAATCCAATTACATGCATTTTATTTTGCAATTAATTCTGCCATTGAATCCACAGGAACTGAATGAAGGCAGTGGACCTGTGCAATGGGTACTACTATGCTGTTTCCTTTCTTGGCACGACTGCTTCAGAAGTGGAGACAATTTGGTAGTGTGTGGCAAAACCCAGCTAGAGCCTGTGGTGTGTGGATGAGAGCTTCCTGAACTAGGACTTGCTGTTACTTAGCCCTAAAGCATATGTATCCCGAATTTTATACTTAGTTTCTACATTCCCATTACAGACTTAACCAGCCCTAAGAACACTGATAGTGAGTGAAGTCTTCCCATTTTTGTCTGGTCCCAGGCAAAAAGTCGCTGTTGGCTTAAACCAGCAAGGATTTACCAGCTCCCGCCTCTGCAGTCGTGGCCCTGCTGTTCTCCCCAGCAAGTGGAGCCAACGCTGCGCTCCGCCGCTCTGCTTCTGCCCTGCTAGAGAGAGCATTAACAGGCAACTGGTCTTATCCCGTACAAAGGGTCTCAGTAGGGAGCAAGGGGGTCTCCGCTTCCTACAGCGAACATAAAATTTGTCAGACTCGTGTCCTTTGCCAGTAGCTCTATCAGCAGCTGGATCTGAACACCAGCCTTTGGAGAATGGTTCATGCTGATCTGAGCTGCCTTATCTCGGCAACAACCAGGGCGCCTTAGAGGTGGACTGTGCAATGTGTCTGGAGGGAAATAATGTAGTCTGATGGAATTGGGGAAAGGATTGATATATATCTCTGAGGATTTGAAGAAAAAAAAAAAAAGTCAGACTTCTCTTTGGACTCATTACAGCTCATTTTAGAAATATTTAGAGTATTTCAGACTTCGGAAGCCATGAATGAAACAAAAAGCAGCAGGGGAAGGAACTGGAGTCTGGCAATGGCTGTAACGGTATTAGCACATTCTTTCAATATTTTAGAAGAAGCTGTATCTGTGGAGACTTAGCTCCAAAAATAATTGAAGTGCCGTGGCATTTAGAGCACTAACATTTTAAATTCAGCTTTTGCACACAGCATAAGTTGACTGTTCCAGTAGTTGTCAGGGGTGACAAGGTTTGCAGGGCTCTTACGTGGTCAGCCACGATTGCATTGGTAGCTTGAGTGAGTCAACAGCTCAATTCCGAGCCCTTTGGGATGCCACTTCAATCTGATGCTGACCATTGTGATTTCAAGTTCTAACAGAACTCCAGAACTCCAAATTAGCAAAAGGTAGTTACTTGGTGGTCTCGGGGAAATTAGTTTTGATGTTTTGCCATTAACCTACTTGATACATCAGGACTTAAACACAACTGTCAAAAGAAAATACTAAATGATATATTGGAAGATTTAAAAGTATTTGTATTCCTCTATAATTTACCATCAAGTTAGCCTGACAATTAAGTAATCAGAACATCTACAAATGCTACCTTTATGTTGAATGACTCTACAAGTACTTCAGTCTTCTTTTCTCAACATGTATTCTGCTGTCTGTTGGGCTCATAACCCATTCCATCCCTCAGTCTTTTTAATCTTTTGGTCAAAAACCATTCCACATGAAAATAAAGAAACAGTTTTGTCAAAGGCTTGTCAGAGGAGATGGGTGCTTCCATGTGGAAATCAATCGTTTAATGGCTCAGTGGGATTTCAGCACTTTTTTTCATTAAGTTGTCCAAAGTAATTTCATCACTCCAGAATTTATTTCACTTCCACCCTCCTCTGTCTGGTTGGTCCAAGCCCAGTTCCTTTAATATTTGAAACTTAAACCCCGTATAAGAGCAGGTCTCTACAGCCTGAGCTGCAATCGCTTGGTGTCTCCTTGCATGTGTCCCAGTATTCATAGATGCCAAGGGCACCTTTAATTCTGCTTGACACAACCAAAGAAAAGTCTTGATCTTTCAAATTCTTAATTGCCTTTAGACCTTTAAAGTAAAGGAGCTACTATTAAAACAAACAAACAAACAAAAAACCCCCCCCAAAAGTTACGGTCACAAGCAAACTGTAAGATAAAACAAGGATTTCTAATTTTTAAAAAAGTATATCTAAATTTTCTAAAGGGGTGGATAATTTTAATGTGCAATTTAATCCTCTTTTAATGAAACATGTTTTCATCAAGTAACTATTCCGTATCATTCCTATGACATCTAATTTTAGCTATTAAATACTGAGGATACTTGAAATCTCTCATCCTTTCCAAAAATATAGGCCAACATTTGTTTTTTCCAATGCCTGAAAAATGATTCTAGAAATTCATTTCCCCTAGGGCATTACCATTAAGCTAATTTAAAACATTTGTTTTAAATTGAACAATACCTTTTAATAAGAAGAGCAGAGAATATCTGGTTACTGAGAAATCATAGTTGTGGG